TCCAAGCCATTAAAATCAAACCTCTTTTCAACTGCTTCCAGCGCACGCTGAAAAGAAGTTCAAGGGAAGGAAAAAGTGCCACTTGACAGACCTTTTCTGGTCCGGGAGTCCGCGAAATCTGCCTCAGAAGGGGGCGGGAACCGGTTAGCCGTGAGAGAGAACGGTTAGCCGTGGCCCGTATCCCCAGCAGAAGCTGAAAAAGACGGTTAGGTTTTACCCGTGGCGGGTAAACGGTCCTCGCACCGGAAGTAGGGCTCGTCCGTGCACACCGCTGACCAATCAGCGGCCGCTACAAGACACGCCTCCCAATCCAGTGGCTATCAGCCACCCAATCAGGAGACACCTGAGCTGTCGCTGGGGGATGAGCACAGTGCAGCCGCACTGGACCTCCGGTTTGTTTACGGAGGCTGGTGGGATCCTAACTGCGCTCAACTGAAAACACTGGCCTCTAAAGATTAGAGGGGTTCTGGCAGCTGCTCTAACGCGCCTGCGCGGGCTACTTCCTGCGACGTGCGGATTTGAGGCTTGGTGCGCCGCTTCACCACTTGTTGGCTAGTTCTTTGAAGCTTTTTAAAATATATATATATAAATATAAATATATATAATATATATATATATATAATTCCCCCCTCTGCCCCCTCCCTCGCAGTCCCTCTGTGATGCACCACAGGCGTTGACTGACTCAATCCTAGGTGTACACGTCAGTGCTGGAATTTGAAGCGGGAGGGGGCAGAGGCTTTAGCAATTATGGTTTGGTACAAATGGGGAGTTCAGTCGCTCAGTCGTGCCCGACCCTTTGCCACCCCATGGGCTGCAGCACGCCAGGCTTCCCTGTCCATCACCAACTCCGAGTCTACTCAAACTCATGTCGTTTGATGCCATCCAACCATCTCATCCTCTGTCGTCCCCTTCTTCATATGGGGGAAGTTATTTCAAAAAGTTCTCTCTCCATGGGGCAAGGTAAAACAGACCTTGGAGCCAGATTTGCTGGGTTTGTACCCTAGCCCCAACATTTAAGCGCTCTATGGCTTTGGGCAACTCAGGTAAATGGCTCTGTGCTTCAGTTTCCCTATCTGTTAAACAGGCACAGCATGGCAGGGGTGGGTATTCTTGAGTTAGAGTAAGCAAAGCACTTGGAACCGTATTTGGCACACCAATTTGCGTGATAAAGGGTTCGTGACATTACTTAGCGGTGTGTCAAGGTTGCTCATCACAATCAGTAATTATCAGAAACCAAGCAGGTTACTTTAAAGTAAAGCCATAAGTAATTTCCCGGCCTGGAGAGGTACAAGGAAAGTATACTGGATGTTGGAAATGTATTCTCTCTCCTCTCAAATACAAAGCAAAATTAGAGCCCATTACAGAGACAGTGTTTATTATTACCATTGTTATTTTGCTCATACTTTTACTGCAGCAGCTCCCCCGCTTAGATCCAGGCCCCCTATGAAACACTTGCTGTTTGCAAACCCCAGGCGTGCAATTACATAACAATGAAGAGAGAAGCCAGTTGTTTAATTGCAGTCACGTTTATTTGCAGTTTCTATACACACTTTCTAGGTAATCAAACTTTTCTGGTACATTTTTTTGAGAGGGGTTCACAATGAAATTGTCACCATTGTTACTAAAAATAAATACAAGACTTAAAGTGTTGCACAGCTCTAAAATATACAAAGGCTTGAATTGAATGTAAACGTTGAAAACATCTTACAAAAGAAACCATTTTTGCAACAATTTAAAAAGTCCATATTTACAAATATTACAAAAATACAAAATGGAGGCAAGTCCATAAACCATTGTCTTTCGGCCAGCATGAACTGGTTCTAGTACCAAAAGAGTTACACTGTAACCTTCCTCATAGTTGTAAATCTTTGTTATGATCTAGTTCTCTAAGTCTGCCACCACTGCAGCATATGTACTCTCTCACTAAACTTTGGCAAGAGCAAACAGCGTGTTTTTGTTTGCTACAACTAGTCCATGTCCTCTACTTAGCCAAAAAAAAAAAGAAAAAAAGAAAAAAATAAGGAAAATATATCTCCCCCACACAACATAGACATGTTGTATAACATAAAAGAAGAAAAAGTAGCATCAGTGCAAACAACAGAAGAAAAGTTTGGGTTGATGTTCCTCACAATACCTAATGTGTGTACCCTGCTTCAAGATGGCAGTGATGTTGAAGACAGACCTCTAAATCTTGGTCTTATATGCTATGTGATAAAGCCATGTAGACTATTCCAAATTGCAAAGGAATTTCTTGCTTTTTTTAAAACTCAGTTTGTTATTCAATACTCTTTTGCACAGTGAATTTTAAATCCATCTTTATCTGGGTTTTTTTTTTAATCTATGAAATATAAAATAGAGAAACTCTGCTATAGATTTTTTAGAGTAAACAAAATAAGTAAAACTATATTCTAAGGGTTAGTTCTGTGATCATTACATATAGATGCTATCTTATTGCCTCACAATTCAAGTCAATATGTGTTTTAAAATATATATGGTACCATTACTTAAATTAATATCAATAATAAGGTGACATATTTGTTAAAGCCAATTTGTGTTTTCTGTTCAAGATTTAGAATCACTTTTAAAGCCCACATACCTTTCTTTACACTAAAAAACCCCTAATTACACAAAAGCCATACTGCAAACGAACTGCTTTTATGAAAATTACAAAAGATCACCTATTGTGACTGGAAATGACTTCTTATCGCATTTGTCTAAAAACTTTATTTTTAAAAGTTTGCCAAGTGTACTTTTCAAAGCATGAGAAAAAAGTTATTCATGTTCCCATGTGGTGTTAAACCATGCTGGTTTTCTTAACTAATGGGTTCCAATGAGAAATGATGGTCCATTTTTTCCAAACCCCCAAACATTTTTCATTTAATAAAAAGTATAACACTTTATAAATGTTCAAATGTATCCTTTACCAGGTAGCTTATCTATCCCTACACAAGCACGCACACACACACTCACTCACACTCACATACACACATTCTCCCTCCTCTACCCCACCACCCCCAGCACCCCTTTTACATACAAGGATGACAAGAAATTAAGAAACACATTTTGATAGCAAAAACAAATAGAATAAACTGGATTTTTTTTTCTTTCCAAAGAAACAAACAGAAACCCAACAGCAATCAGATTCTGTAATTCTCACTCTGTAATGTCTTATAAAGTGTTTCTATTGAAAGACAGCATCTTCTTAGACCAGGCTTTCTCCTTCATATTGCATGAATTAAACCAAAACCACAAACCCCCTTTCACACATCCTACTTTCCCAAATACCACTTGCATAAGCTTAAAACCAGCTGCTTGTCAATTTCTTGGTAACTCTGGTATGTTCTATCATTCTAATCACATTCTATTCTTTTATAGGCCATATTCCTTCTTAGTTCTCTACTTTCTACCTTCTTTCATTCAAAGCATATTCCAAGTTCATAGCTGCTTATATTTCTGACATATCATCTCAAACATTAGTATCAGTTCATGTTAAAATCACGGGTGTATAACCCATTGGCAGATTTCAACTTGTAACTACATTTTTTTTTCAGTTTTAAGACAAGAAAATTCAAGTAATTTCAAGTAATTCAGCTTGTTTCCCTGCCTTCATTTTATCAGAGCAGTTGCCCTGACATTTCTTGTCCCACCCACCACCCTCCCCTTTTGCCATCAAGCAGATAGAGTAAAATCAGACAAAAACTCAGTTGTATGTAGCATTGTGAACCAGAGATGCTCCCCAATCCCATTTAACAGTGAATATAAATAATGCATATACACATACCTATTTCCCAACTACGTTGTTCACAGTGTCATTTCTGTTAATTTTTAGGTAGCATGAATCTCGTCAGCACAGAGAGAAAGCGTCACTGAAAACTCATTGCAGGTACTTACTGATAAATCCACAGCTCTGTGGCATGCTTATGTTTTATTTTTGTTTATTAAAGAACCTGGAGCTAATTGCTAAACTGTTGAAGGAGTTTAAAGACAACAGTCATCAGATTATGACTATTTATGTTCCCAGTAGTATAATATAAAATGTAACCTAAATTAACTACTGTTTTCCCTACTTATTCTCTTTAAAGCAATCCATTGAAAAATTGAAGTTAAAAGGACACTGTCAAGTGCTGTTGTTCAGGGCTTTGTATTGAAAATGATGATTTCTCTCACTAATTTTGTTTTTTAAATCAAAAGCATGCTTTTAATTCTGTTCAGATTACCACATGGTGAATCAGCCATGTGTTACCAGTAGTTTGTGTGGTGCTGCAATTTGTCACAAAAATGGTTAAGTCTGAATTCATTGTTTTAAATTAATCACATTTCACTATATGACCTCAAGATTTCCTTTATTTCACCAGTTTAAAAGTCATATTTGAGGTTTATCACTCAGAAATCATATTGGTGGACATTTAAATATGGTATTTGATATGAAAATGGTATTCACAGAATACAATTATTACACTATATTTGTTGTGTTCTATAAACAGTTGGTGTGTGGTAGATAGTTGGCCACATGTCCACTCGTCGTCAATAAATCTATTTACACATTTTTATCAAAAATATGGTATTTACATATGTGTGTAGTTCTTCTAAATTTTGCTTTAGTTCATTTGAATGTAAAAATATACCAAACCTCCAGAGTAATTTCATCTTCATATGAATTATGACAGTGAGGGCTTTGTTTTCTGAATAGGCAGCTCTGGGAAAAAATTTTTCTAGGTTTTGTGAAAAGCACACATTTTAAAATTCTCTATTATCAAAAGGAATGAGACTGGGTAAATCAAACTATGCTAAAGAAAAATATGAAAGACGGTGCAGCTACTGAAAAACATGGAAAATAAGAAAGACGGAACCACCTTCCATTTCCCCAGCAAATATTTAGGAACTCGTTGGTAAACGTGATGGGACCCCACCACATGCTGACTTGTCCCACGTCTTCCGTTTTGTTCCTCCATCCTCATGAGTAAGGTTTTGGCCTTGGACAGCCAGCCTGGCAGGGTCGCCTACGTGGAGCTCTGGGAGGATCGGTCGTCATGCGGGCTCCCGTCAGAGTTTTCGGTCTCACCCTCGGAGATTGCCTGCATGGGCGTGTTGTACAGCCTGCAGCGGACACTGTAGCGACTGCTGCTGGCCACAGGAGGAGCCCGGGAACGTCCCACCCTGGCCGATGCCGAGGTGGCAAAGTTCTTTGAGGAAAACCCTTCTGCGTTAACCCGTGGGGAGCACGGAGAGAGGGGAGACAGTGCTTCAGTTCCCAGTGACCCCTGATGGGCCTCATGGGGGCTTTGGGGGGACTCTGTGGTGAGGTCCCCAGGAGGTTTGGGCAGGATGGGACTCTTCAGGATCTCAGTAGCAGACATACGGTAACTGGAATCTGAGCGACTGCCTTTCTTCAGCAGTAACAGCTTAAACTCTTCATTGGATGTGTTGGACTTTTTGGCATTTCGGTAGATGAGGCCAGGAGACCTCTGGCTGTTTGGGGTGGTCACATTGCTGTTGGGCGAGGTGACAGAACCAGCGCTGTTGCTGCTACTGCTGCCCAGGGAAGCTCTCAATTTACTGCGGACAGACATGTCCCCAGAATCTTTTCTTCCAAGTACTTTCCTCTTGGACCTTTTAAGAAAGGGAAAAATCTCAGTCCACAATACATTTGAATGAAACTAAAAGTGTTAAGTCACATTCCTGCATCCCCTTAAAGAGCAGTTCGGTGCCCCCTGTCTGCTGGGATACTAAGCATTAGGGCCATGGGCATGAGGAGTAAGACCCAACCCTTGTACTTGCAGCCTGTGGGAAATTCTCCAATAACCAGTGGATAGGAATTAAGTTTATGGAAGGGACCATTTCAAATAATGACTCAAGTGGAGGTTAGAGGTTTTAGAGGAGGACTTACTGGCATGTTTCACAAAAGTATAAAAAATTACTGCTCTCTGACTTCTTGTTAGCATATAGATGGTGAAGGACTGTTCCCTTCATTCAGTCTGTCTTTGTATTACAGATGAAACACTTTGATGTCTGGGACTGGCTTCCTGTGAATACTGGGTGGGAGAGCAAAGTGGATGGAGGTACGGATGGGACAGGAGTAGGCACAGGCTGATGGTTGATAGGCTTGGGTGATAGACATGTCTCTGTGTGTGTTTAGGTGGAGGGTGGGTGGGTACATTATACTGTTCTGTCTACTTTTAAAATTCCTCCATATAAAGATATTTCTTCCATGACTCCTTAAATAAGTCAATCTATTTTGGCTGCAAATACCATTTTCCATAGCTACCTAGGAATGTCAACGCTCTATTAATCAGTATCTAGGCCACCTCTGGAGCTCTTAAAGCTCTGTGTACTATAAGCTCTCAAGAAAAGAAAATGTTTCTTGTCACTGTGCTGCACATAAATAAATGCTGCCTAAATGTAAATCTAAGATTACCAAACTCTGTTAAGTCTACCAAACCTAGGCACCCATCCATCATTGTATTCTTTCTTTAGTTAAAATAAACAGGCATAAATTTAGTGAACTTTATCATGAGTCAGCATGACTTCAGTTCATTGCTATGTATTGGTGACTAGCTTTCTCACCAACCTAAAAACCTGTAGGTTAGAGAAAATGTCAGGTTTGCAACTGGAGACCAGCCTGATTTTCATTCACTGGAAGCTCTGTGGTTACTATCTTGTGTATGCCAGTGTCTGGCACTCCAATAAGGTAGGGATTTCAAATTAATGTCTGCCTTTAGTATCTATCATATTCTAGACAATGACATGATACTGTATCATCAGAACTGAATGCATGAGCTATAGGTACCCTATTTACAGCAAGGGGATAGGTACACAGGTTTTAAGTAACTCAAGACTGGATAGGAAGTGGCAGCATTGGGTTTCAATTCAATGTCTTTCTGACTCTACTCCTTACATTCTGTCCACTCTTCTAGACACGAGCACTGGTTCATTAACTCACACAGCATTTAATAACTTGTCCCAAGGTTGGGGATAAAAGCAGGTGAGGGGAATATAATTGGGGACAAGGAAAAATAATGATTCTTCATTCTCCAAAAAGAAAGGTGAGCCTGCTAAGGTCTACACAGAATGTGCTTGTGGTTGGCTGCTTTAAAAAAGAAAAATGTTGTTGGTGAGCAGTGCTCCTTCTTTATGAGAGAACCACATGAAGAGAAAACACGAGTTCCCCTAGGAGGTATGATCCTGGGGAAAAAACAGTGGTAAGCTACTTGAGAAGAACTTGCTTCACAGTATAACTCCATGAGGAAGACAAAGACAGTCCCCAAGTTTTGTCCCTTGGGAGCCGCATCTAGGTCACTGAGACCTAGTGAAGTGGGCATGCTCTGGACAGCTCAGTCTGATAGGGGTTCAGTTTCCAAGGGCTAGTTCAGCTCTGTTCTTTGGTCACAGCCTGTAAGGAGTGTTCTTGCAAATAGGGGCCCTGATCACAGGGTGCGGGGACTGATGAGAGAATATGAATGATCAGCGTGGAAGCAGCCCAGAGGACATCCCCTATTCATGGGATGCTGCTGCTGCTGCTGCTGCTAAGTCGCTTCAGTCATGTCCGACTCTGTGCGACCCCATAGAAGGCAGCCCACCAGGGAGGAGCCTGGTATGGAGCATTAAATCTAGAGAAGGCCAGTGTTGTTAAAGAAATGTTAAGTTTTAGGAAGAGGGGGGGAAGAGAGTAGTGATTAGTTGTTGTGGACTGTGAAATGGGCAGGCTTCTATGCTGTCTTGTCTGAAATCTGGGGCTGTGCATCGTGCGTCAATTTATCTCTGCTAGTGTAGGGTTGTAGCTTTGAGCATGATTTTTAGATTAAGGAATTATTTGAAAGTCAGAGATTACACTAGAGTTTTAGTTTTCACTCTTAATTTACTTGATCACAAATTGTTTTCAAATAAAAACGTGTTCCAGAATGTCTTTCCTCTGGGGGAAAAAACAGCTTCCCTCAGCAGTTCTTAGGAAAGTCTCTCAGTTGAAGTCTACCTCACTACATATAAAGCCACATATTTCTCAACTTGAATATAAGTCTATCAATTTGATTTGGAAAAATAATTTTTTTCCTTGTGTTTTTTGAGGAATGTATTACAAGTACCCAAGGCTTTTCCATATTTGCGTTTGATGAGAAGCATCATCAGAAGCAAAACCTTTGGTGTCATTGCCTCACCTGTGAATAACTGCAAACAAATCCTCAGTTGTTCGAGGTTTGTTGGGAGACACGAACACACTTTCTGCTTCAGCCTGAGAGTCTTCACTTAATGGTGAAATCACAGAGTCATCACTCGGTGACGATTCTTAAATTAAGAACAAAAGCATCTTTAGGAAGAAGTCACCTGGCACATTGCTGGGCTTCACTGACTCAGGGAACAATAAACAGCAGTGACCTGGCTGCCATTTTTACAATGAAAGAGCTATCTGTCACACTTAGTCCCTCCATAACAAAAGCTTTGATCGTAATTGTTTTAATAAGTTAAAAAGGAGGAGGGAAAGCAATACCCAGGGCTATACTGTATTATGGGGAAGGGAAGAAAGAACACTCCAGGAAGTGCCATGAGACACCTTTCCATTGTGACAAAAGTGTCAACAACTGACCTTTCAATGAAACCTCATCCACACCTCCTTGGGTCTCCTCTGCTCCACTGTTATCAGAGGCACTTTTGGCTGAAATCCCTGAAGCAATATTTCCCTGCTCAGAACACTTTTCAGGGCATGGATTTATAGTTGATATCTCTACTTCAGAGCTGATATTCCCAGGCACTTTGTCATGGTGGTGGCTCATCCCAAGTTGAGGCTTAAGTTGATAGCCTATGTCTGTGACTCGAGTTGGAGAGTCTGACTGAGGTGTGAGCACATCCACAGACTCTGGGGGTGCAGCTTCCTCACGATCTACAAAAGACAACTTCTGGACCTGTGCTAGGGCTCCATCCGGACCAGCTCCATATTGCAGTGTCTTACCATCTGAATCATTTGGGTGAGCAGCAGAGACCCTCTGAAAGCCTTCTGTGAGAAAGTCACAACTTTTACTTGGTTTGTTTTCTGAAACAGGCTCACTCTCCATATGCATTTGGTCTCTTGTGACACTTGAATCTAGAAGATTGCTACCAGCTGAGGTTACTGTTTCTGGATCACAATGATGCTTCACATCAAAAGTATGTTTTTTTTCTAACTGTAGTTTATCTGGTCCCATCTCAACTGCAGAGGAGTCTAAAAAGGACAGGATGGTATCTTCAGTGGCATACTGACATGGTAATGATTTCTTCATCATGTGTGGCCTAATCTTACCCATGGTGACAGTGCTTTCCTCCAGGTAGGGGAGATCTGTGTTGTTGCCTTCTTTTTGCTTAACTTCTTCAGATTTACTGATGGACCTAAGGTTAACTGATTTCAGGACCGTGGGTGTAATTGCAAGAGATGGTGGAGGATTGGACCTCAGAGTTTCTCCTACTGTGTTCTGCTTATTATGACTGAAGATGTGTAGAGGGTGGCGGTGGTGGAATGGTTTGTTCAAGACATTATGAAGAGCACTTAGGTCAAGATGGGTAGGAGGTATAATTGGAAGTTCCAGATCTTTACTCAGTGACAGAGCGCCATCTTTTAAAGAGGGTTGCTGGAGGGAAGATTTCCTTTCTGGGACTTTCGGCTTTCTTTTGCTACCTCCAGGAGACAATGGGCCAGAAAAGAAAGCAGTAGGGAAAGAGGATGTTGGCGTTTCGGACTGGCTGGAATAGCCACTTGATGGAGATGCCAGGCCAGCCAGCTTTTCTGGTGAAGCAAGTTTAAACTCATTGTCGACGGAAGGAAGGGAGGGGGTGGTGGCTCTAGATTCTGACTGGGATGTTTGGGATTCAGAACTCTCTGGAGATTTAATGCATTCGATAACAGTGGTACCCGTAGCAGTGCTTGAATTTGATAAAGATCTGTAAGGGTCATTTGTTTTCAAGTCATTTAGAAGCCAGAGATCTGCATAGTGAGTTGATTCAGCACCTTCGTCTTTGAATGGTGGAACATCTGGAGTATCTAACTGAGGTTCCTTAATACCATGTTCATTCTGGTTCATCCACGAAGGTTCTGGCTTGGTGGGAAGATTGGCATTTTCCATTCGAGAAGGTGTGTTGGAGAAATCGAGAGGCAGCTTCATTTCCCTGGAACTGTGAGGCAGGAGCTGGCCACTGCTTGTCTTTGGTTCTTTCTTCTCAGAAGTGTCTGCATTTCCGTCAGACTTCCTCAATGATGAGCTACGTTTAGGTGGAGTTGGCTTTGCCTTTGGCTTCCTGAAAGAGATGCTTGGTCTCCCCTGCCTCCTGTGGTCTAAGTAGTCCTGCCAGGCGCAGTCTGAAAGTGCAGGAGGAACCCCAATGCCCTGGCCATTCTCCGGGCCCAGGGCTGCATAGTGACAGACATAATTCTTACTGCCTTTGAGACCACAGTCAAAGTGCATGGAGGTGTAGTATCCTTCTGTGTCCACTGAAAAGTGAGAGCTAGTGTCGGCTTTGTCCGACGGAGACTTTTCCAGAAAGCTGTCATAAGTGGCCATGCTCGTGAAGCTTGGGCAGCCCAGGCTGTCTGCCTTGGGACGCTCAGGACTAAAATCCTGGTGGCAAGAGGCGTCATGATGATGGTGTAGGTAATTCCACTCGCTATCACTCGTGTTGCTATTGTTGGGGTCGTCCAACAGGTCTGCCACTGTGGAGGTAAAGGAGTTTGTCCGGTGGCCTCTCACTTTCTCCAGTTGGTCGTTGTACTGCTCTGCCACAAAGACACTGGTGTCCTCGTTAGCATGAGGGGCCGTGTTGAGTGACAACTCCGAGTCACAGTGTGAAGAGCCAGTGAGGGGAGGCGAAGCTGCAGGAGGGATCGTCTCTGAGGTCTGTGAGGGGCATGTGGAGCTGCTCCCGCTCCAGTTGCCACTGGATGACTGGTGGTCATCTTTCTGGTCCATGTGGCTGCTGAGGAGGACGCCAGCTGTGGAAATGCAGTGGATGGGGCTCCCAAAGGTGTCTGAGTTGGAGGAGATGTCGCAGCTGCCAGAATCGGCCGCCATCCGCGACAGACGCGACCTCCCTCTCTCATTTAACTTGTGCTGGGGGCTGTGCAGATGTTGAGAACAGGCCAGGCTCAAAGCAGGCTGGTGCTCCTGTGCACTGGGGCTGCTGGGGGCCTCACTGCAATCAGGAAGGGTTCTTTCTTGGTCTCCCACGAAAGGCTCCCCCTCTTCATATGCTGAGGGTTTAGCACCAACTTTGGGCTCAGCATCCCCACCTCTGTTGCCCTCCCTGGGAAGGCTCCGAGATCTCGTGCGGCTGCTCACTGCAGTAGTAAACATGGTGTCACCTTTGTCTGCCAGTGCAGAAATGTTGCCAGCAGAATGAGAAAGAGAAGCTGCAATGCTCTGACCCCTTTGAGCTCTGATTCTTCTTCTGGATGGAGCAGCAATCAGAATATCCTCAGTTTGGCACTCCGAGTCCCTGGTTCCAGACCTCCTGTTGACAGTGTTGGAAGGGTCTGGATTTGTGTGCACAATCACATTCCTTTCCCTGGCCACGGGCGATTCATCAGAATCTAGGGCACATGGAAAGCACAGTGAGATACTTCATACATCAACAGATGGACAGACATTCTGAGAGCTGTCCACAAGTCTGGATGCTAGCATGTGGAAGTTATTCTTATAGGAAAAAAAATCAGTGTATAAAATGAGGAGAAAGTTACAAAGAGACTGCTTTGGGCAGTCTCTCTCTGTCCCTTTGCCTCTCTGATTCTCTATATATATACACACAAATACATACTGTATGTATGTATGTATATATACTAAGAGAAGATAAGTATTTAGATCTCTTGTGAATTCTCTCTCTTCACGATCAAATTACTTTACCCCAGTAGGTCTAATATTTTTTAAGTAAAATACATCTTGTTTTTTTGGCCACTATATACTTTTATTTCTCGAAATAAGCATGATGAAATAAAAATCATAGAATTCATTATGATATAATCTTATATATAATAAATACTATCATAATAATTTTTAAAATTATAGGAAGAGATATGTTAAACACATTGAACAAAAAAAGATAGAAAAACTATAACCAAGGGTATCATGTTATCAATATTCAATATTTGAATATGCTTAAAATTTACCTTTTAAAATAATTAATGTCATACAGTATATCTCTCTTCAGACAAATCTATACTTTTCTAAAAGAGTCTTTCACTGAATCTCGCTTAATTTCTACCTTAAGAATACTTTTACAAGTTAGCAAAATGCTGTATTTCAGCCATAAAATCTGAATGTGCATGCTGTGCATGCTTATTCGCTTCAGTCATGTCTGACTCTCTGTGACCCTGTGGACTATAGCCTGCTGGGCTCCCCTGTCCATGGGATTCTCCAGGCAAGAATACTGGAGTAGGTTGCCATGCCCTCCTCCAGGGGATCTTCCTGACCCAGGATCGAACCCGCATCTCTTATGTCTCCTGCATTGGCAGGTGGATTTTTTACCACTAGCGCCACCTGGTAAGCCCCAAATCTGAACGTATATGAGTAAATCCATAAAGTCAAGCTTTCATAGTCAAGAATGCAAATTTAAAAAGTAATACTACCTGGCTTACTGAACACAAAACAAGTACACATCATGTCAAAACCTCTATGAGTTACAATAATAGTGGATGTTTTTAAGGAAGCTGGTTAAAGGCCGGCTTCCATTATGTGTCCATATAATTGGCACCTGACAGAATGTTAACCATTAACAGTTTTATACCACACCTATTTCTTGTTGGACTCTTCTGGGGATACCCGAAATGGTTTTTCTCCTCCTCAGTTTTCGTCTCCGCTGTAGCACAGATTGTGAATGAACAAGAGAGCAGCGTATACTAGCCTCTCTGTCAAAACCGACTCCTGCAACCCACAAATAGGTCTCATTAGCTTTTAGGAATGGCAAACAAATTTTCATTTGCTTGGAACACAATGATATTTATTGGTTGGAAAGAAGGAAGAGTTTGGATTAAGCCTGTAAACAAATATAAGGGAGTCCTTATTCAGCTCTTATTTAAATTATGGTGTAGTACATTAAGCTTTACTTCTAAATGCAGCTCGCCACAATAGCTTGCACTGCCAAAAGTAACAAGCCAAGAAGGAAAATCAAAAGAGAGAGGAGAGAAAAATAACATCAAAGAATCACTCTCACACAGAAATGGCTCCTTAAGGACTTCTACAATCTTTAGTTACTACTACTTACTGGTCTCTTTGTGGGCTTTCTGAAGTGGATATCTTTGCATAGCACAGACAGACACATACACCACCTGTCTCTCTCTTTCTCTCTCTCTCTCACACACACACACACCCCACTACCTGTGAGGAAAACAACAACCTAGAGATGTGTTTTTAAAATCCTCATGTAACTGCCTATTTCTTCTGCTGCCTAAATTGGACACCTTTTGGTTTAGCAACAGTGTCTCATCAATAAAACATACAAGGCAGTCCCCAGTTCTTCACTTAAGTGGATCTACCTTCTGTGCCGACTGTCAGTAAAGCTGGAATTCCCAGTCTTTACACAGGTGTCTGTTTTCTTCTGTAAATATAGGGAGCAAAGCATGATTCTTGTTAGTTTCTCTTTCCATAGTCTGTTGACACACTAATGCAGCCCTTTCAAAACTAGAATGATGGAGGAGGTGAGGAACTTGAACTGCTGTAAGCCAAAAGTTCTTTGGAATCTGGTTGCCTCATCATGTATCCTGATTGTTAAACATGGGGCGGGATGGTCTGTTAAACCTTGGTTCGGTTATGTAATGAAATGGTTTGAGTTCTGCTTAGCTTCACAGTAATAACAGTTTCTAGAACTCATGTTGAAAAATCTGAATGAGATATCATATGATGAATAATTTCAAATGCTATCAGAGAATTCATACTAATGAAATTTTCCTTTTTTAGTTCCAACCAGAGATTAAAATCCTTCCTTCTAATCATAATAATTACATTACAGACACAGATATTTTGTGTCATATGGACATAATTGACAACTTTCTCATTAAAGTTCTTGAAATCAACATATAATCTAGGCTTGAGCCTGAGAGTTCCTGAAATAAAGCAGAAGGAAAGATCTTTCATTTTCCTGAATCATAAGACCTATAATCAAAGGACTAAATTTGAAAACAAAATTTCACTTACAGTGCCATGAAGAAAGCAGGTGCTGCTAATAATCAGATGTTTCCAGAACTGAAAGTTAGTTTAAGAGGATGCCAAAATGATCCATTTTGACAGCCATCTCATTTAAATTATGGAGATCAGATAAAGTGTACATCTCTAGTATAATTTATCCTACAAGTTGAATAGGTCATCAGGAAAATTAACTCCCAGCTCACAATCAGCCAATCAACTAGAACTCCTATTTGTCAGGAAGAAAACAGTATCTACCCTGATACCTGGTCATCATTTGCTCCCCACTTTATATGAGAGGAATTTGAGCGAGGTTAGTAATGGCCATGTCCAAAATGCATCCTGAACAACATACAGTCTTCAGTTACTACATATTACCAGGATGGAAGTCAGTCATAAAATAGCCATTTTGAGCTTCTCAATGTAAGTTAGAATTTAACTATTAGAGATGCTTAAAGAAACCCCAATAGATAGATCATTTAATTTCCATCTTTGAAAGTGAGACTGTTTTACAGCAACATTTTGCTTACAGCTAAGGTTACCGCATTGGAAAATCACCAATTCTGAACTTTTCAATTGCTGCCAATAAACTTTCCAAGAAAAGTCCACACAGGCTTGCCTTTGATTTAGACTAATATCCCAACTGTCGGTACACAGGAGGAGGAAAGCAGAGGGTGAACAGAAGACAGGCTTGCTGGGTTTCAAGTAGAATTCAGCCTTCATCTATGAATCCATGTATTTTTAGGTCAAAAGTCCATAAAAGCAGTGCAAAAGTCTAAATGATCTTTTAAACAAGCCTACCTCCATCGAAGGAAGCATGAAAATAGATTTTACAGGATCATTACTTGTAGTTTTAGAAACCTGGGGCTTGCTGCTTTCTCTCTGGCAGTGCCCGCATGATTACCATATACGATTAATCACTGCCGCTTTCTCCATTATTTCAGTCAGCTCTGGCCAGAGAGCTATTTTTTTTCCCCCAGAAAGTGACTGTCCATCATTTACATAACAAGCAGCCCAGCAGAACATATGCAAATTGATGTTCAAAACCTGACAAAAGCATATTGAACATCTTCTGGGTTGTGTCCTGATGAAAAAGGTATTATTTGCTTACAAAGTGGTATTCTTAACGGGTACTCCCGCCAGCACAGGCTTTGACCATATTTAATACACTGAATATTCTGACCCGACTGCCCCAAAGGAAACGAACAGAGCAATACCAGTGACGTTGATGGGAATAATGCAGGAAGAAATCACTTGGGCATCTTGTTTCATCTTTTCCTCTGGCGTCGGAAGAGGCAGTGCTTTGCTCCAGTTGGTCTGCTTGTCCAGTGTTGAGGGGATATTGTGTACTGGGTTTTTCGGCCTTTGCCCTAACATGACATCTGTATCTTCATCCTCTGGGGGATGGGACTGCAAACAAAGTAGGTTCAGACTCAGCTCTCAGAGTTTATGCACAAACACACATATAAGGAATTTCAGAGTTTAGTTAAGAAAAATGAGGTCAGAAAATAAGCTTTCAGGTCAAACGAAGAATTCCTAGGCATAGTTAGTAAGCACATCTAATTGAAAGTTACAATTTCAACAGTCAAGCAACGCAAAGGAAAAAAACATCGGCTAAACATGCTTTTCAGGTCAAAGGGAATTAAGAGGAGAGACCAGGTAGCCAGAAATCCTCAAACTTGAAACTGAAGAAAGATGTGAGTCTCTAACCCGCTGAGAGGTAGATTCACTTTCTGGATATCTGTCTCCCAATAAATTCTTACTCAAACTCTCGAAAGCTCTAGGTGACTAGGATCACAGACAGAAGATGATTTAGATGCCCTTGAAAAGGTTTGGAAAAGTGGCCAGAAAGCCTAGAGTCAGGAGACATTCCAGAACACATCACCAGAAGCGCAAGCTGACCTAATCTGAGAGGCCAGGTTCAAATACGAGGAGTTAATTTTACTGCAGGATGATAGCATTTGTGAATGACATTTAAAAATGCAGTTTTTCAACACTATACACATGGAAAAACAAAAGTGAAGAACTTCCTCCCACCATCGATAGTGGAAAATACAAATTCTGTTACTGGAGGGAAAGACTCAAGTGGGTTTCTTCTTCAGATTCAGAAGAGTAAAACACTCTTAGTTTATTTTCCTTCACCTTTGCATGCAAAGCTTTTCTTCCAGCTGTGTATTTAAAGACCTTGACTTCCATGTGATATTTGAAAATTCTCCATCCAAACCTTTGATTGATATTAATATTGTCTAACTTTTATTTCAGGGTTGGGCTCCTAGCCCAGATTTTTAAAAAGGCTCCATCCCAAGTTAGATTTCAGGGTTGGGCTTCTAAACCAGATTAGTAAGACTGTTTCCACCACTGAACCTAGTTTTCTTTCTTTCCACAATTGGCAGGAAGGTGGCTGTATAAAATAAGCATTTCCCCCTCTTATTCCAGTTATGTTTTAATAATACTCTGTGCTAAAAAATCAGGATCATTCAATAAATTCTCATCCTCACATTTGGAAGCATCACACCCTGCTGACTCAGAGGATTTCACATATCATCAAGTGAACTGTCCTCAAGTCCCCTTAAAGAGAAGATTCCAGAGCCACTTGTTTTAAATTAACCCCCAGCATTTGCTTACCTTGTCAGAGGTATCTGCAAAGCCCCCCAACACACCCAACAGGATATGATTACCCCCTTGAGAAAAATGTGTTCGCCATGAACGTTTGTTAGCAAAACATTGCAACCTTCTTTCTCTCTTCAGCTTTTGTGCAGATTCCCAGCGAAGCGAATAGCTCAAATAAAGTTGGAGCACAAAAGACTTTGTTTCCTAGGTAACTTCCAAATAGGAAAAAAAAAAAAAGTTTGGTGCGTGCAGAAAGAGAGACAGAGAGGGGGAGAGAGCAGGAGCTGGAGAGACCCCCCCCTCCCCACACACACACCAGAGGCCACATTTTGTAGGCAATTCCTTCCCTGAATAACAATGGACTGGGAAACAAAGAAAGAATAGTGACCTGACTACAGTCTCTGACCGGCAGCCAAAAGCACTTTGTATTTAACGGTGACAGGGACAATTGGCTGCCAGAGAATCCTTTTGTCCTGTTCTCTTTTGATTTGAGAAGCTGAACCTTTACAGTTCTGATAAATATAGGGCAAGTTGAAATTTCTTTTCTCTGAACTACAAAGTCCAGGAATGTCGTTAGGTGAGGCTTTGAACAGAGCCTTCATGCAACTGGGGGATGGGGAGGGATAGAACAGCCAATGACATTACTGTCTACCTTATATTTTATTTAATTCAAGTTAGGAAAATGCTACTCTTTAAACTGATTTAAAAGAATACCTGTTGGTTAGTTAGAAACAACAGAGTTTTCCATAAAGAAAGAGAGGAGAAAGTGACAGTGTATAGAGAGAATGGGACAGGCTGTGACGGAATGTTCTCAAAACCAGTACCTTTCTACTCCATGGGGTCATGTGGCAACATTCAGTGGGGGAGGGCGAACGGGTGCTGTTAAACTATGAACATGAAATGCAAAAAAAAAAAAAGAGAGAAAATTAAAAACATGCACACAACACACAGTCTGGTTAAGCCAAATCTATGATATGAATGAATGAATATACCAGGATAACTTCTTTCCTTCCTTCCTTCTTTCTGAATGCATCTTTGTTTTATAAGAAGCAGCACAGTGTTGTTAACAGCACAAATTCTGGAGCTAGACTGAGTTCGAATCCTGATTCTACCTCTTATTTGCTGTGTGACCAGGAACACTAAGGTAGGAAAAGAATAGTATCTGCCTTCCAGGGCCATTTTGGAAGTAAATGAGTAAATATATGTAATAGGCTTAGAAGAATCATGGCACTTAATAAGTTCTACATGTTAGCCATCAGATACTATTACCTATTATTATTATCCTCACTTTGTAGCTATGAAGTAGCTGTGAAATTATCTTTGTACATTGTAACTTGATATCTTTTAGATCCCAGTCCCACATGATAATTTGGGAAAGACCAAATTTCTTAGAGTGAGTTTATTTTCCTGTGAACTATTTGGAAGAAAACGTCTTGTATATAATTTCCTCTGCTGGACTCCTCAAAATTTGCCTCTTCCTCATATTCATAGACTGTATTTGAAGACAGGGCCGGTTTCATGGGCATGTGACCTGTGCAATCATATAGGACCCCATACTCAGAAGGACTCCATGCTTGGTTTAATGCTGTTGCTATCTTGAAATTCTAAGTTTTTGAGTAATGAGCCCTTGTATTTTCATTTTGCACTGGACCCCCACAAATCACATAGGCAATCCTGTTAGAACAATCTAGTAACCAGAATCCCCTTTTCAAGATCTACTGAGAAGGACAGTCAAACTCTTTTTAACCCTGAACCATGTTAGCTTTGGATTCAATTAGCCCTCTTGGACAGCATTTGGCATACAGTATTGCTTTAATGTAACATGAATTATCTCTGGATGTGTCTTTTCATCTGTTAAGGTTATTAATTCCTAGAGGTCAGGCGCCATATTTAACTTTCCTTTCAGTTATCCATGATGCCAGCAAAATGCCTCCTCATTTGTAAGAGCTCAACAAATTATTTTTGTATTTGAATGATACCAGCTCTTTGTGTCTTAACAGTGATGGGAAACCCAAATAAAGTAAGGGTCACGTTCAATATCTCAGAAGGAAGCAGACACCACAGACTCCAAGGGTACTTACCATCTTAAGGCAAGTAGGCGAAAACATAGAGGAAACCACAAACAACTCTTGGTTTCATCAGAGGCTTAGCATTGGTGTATGCAGTTCTAGTTCTTGAGCCTGTGGCAGACATGTTTCAGAAGGGAGGAACACTCCAGATCTAATTCTATTCTAAGTTTGTAAATTTTAACTGACAGGGTTGCTCATTAACTTTTGAGCAAAGCAAAAGCCATCTCCTCCTGCCCAGTTAACTTTGCTCTAGATCTTATTTAAGGACATAGTTTTGTGGAGTCTATGGGTCCCTCATTGAACGCGATTGTTTTGAAGGTGTGGTGTGTGTGGACAGAGACTGACTGGGCTCTATCATAAGAATCAGTCATCTGTAGTGACGTGCAGGTCTCAAGTAAGACACTGGAATGTGTAAAATAGAGAACTCATGAAAGCAGGAAAAAAGGAACCTGAATGCAAAATGTACATGGAAATCGAACCTGTTTGCAAGAAGCCAAACCAAAAGTGCTCATGAAAGGATTTCAAAAAATTACACAGCAGGAAGCAGCAAGGCAGAAAATATATTAGTGATACTAATGATAATATAGTAATTTGGGTAGTTTGTCTTAAATCTCCTTAGTCAGCTTTCCTGTTGAATATTTTTTCCGGGAATGAGGGATGAGGAGTGATTTTTATTTCTCATCTGTTTGAAAAACGCCCCATCCCATTAAACAAGCATGAGGTGACACCTGGGAATGACTAAGGATGGAACGTCCAGAGAGAGCTCTGACTGTTCACCATCATTAAATCGAGGTTTCCATGGGTTATACTCTACAGAAGATTCCTTCTCAGCTAATCAGCCTCTCCACTCTTTTTTTATTTATTTTTATTTTTTCCATTTTTATTAGTTGGAGGCTAATTCCACTACAATATTGTAAAGTAATTAGTCCACTCTTTTTTTAAATTGTAGTATTTACAATATTGTATCAGTTTCCAGGTGTATGATCTATTCCTTTGATAGTAGCTCCAGCCTCCAGCTTGTGAGGGCTGAAACTAGGTACCCTTGAGCTTGTGTGTGTAAGGATTGTGTTCTTTGGTTCCACCACCTAGACACAAGCATGCAAGGCCCTGCAGATGGTCTATGTAGAGTATTTAAGTTCATAATATTCATGTGGGCTGTGGTTTTATTCTCACCATAACTTAGTGACTGCCTTAGCATAATGTTTTAGACCTTCCTCTTTCTTGGGTATTTGGTCAAAGGAATTAAAATCATTTGGATTATTTCTGATTAGGTTTTTCTGTGGCGAAAACAGTAGTTCATACGGTGTTTCCTCTTCCTTTTGCAGGCTTCCACTCTGGCCCTCCCACTAAGTTTGCGAGGCCTCAGACTCCATGTTGCACCATTTTAGAATCAGCCACCACCAGTCATCTTGTCCCTGACAAAAGATGCTTCTTTGATGCTTTTGCTGCATTTCTGTCCCTGCTGGCCCCATCAATTACAGCCTCAGACCCTTTCCCTAGCTTCCTGTGGAATTGCTTCAACAAGAGCTGGAGTTGTAACCAGTGTTCAGAATAAGAAATAACAGACATTATACTCAACAGCTGTCAAAGAAATGCCTTTCATGAATAATGAAAGAATATTTTCCAAAACCCCAACTTCTCTTGTGGGGTGTGTGTGAGAAAAAGTTCATTTCTGCACTTTCATGGCTATGAACAAGTATTTCTCCAAAGATCTCAAGACTTTCTCCTACTGCCAAAAGAAAAAAACAATCTACCCACAGTTTACTTTCTTTTTGGTTTTACTTTATATGCTGATGGGGGCTTGTTTTGCTTCAAATCTTCCCAAAAGACATCTGTTAAAATGTTGTGGGTATTCCAGCAGGAAATGTTTTGAAAAATTGGCTTTGGTTTGTGATCTAACCGATACCACATGGCATTTATAGCAGTCAACTTTCAGAGCTGATTTATTACTATCATGCTGCCTTAAACACGAGAAATGTTTACTAGAGAATCAATGTTGCGGCACATTTGAATACAGCAAAACTGTCCACTGCAAGCCACTCTGGGCTCCTAGTGAGGTGAGGTGATCTGAGATCTTATTCACATCCTGCCCTGGGGCTTGTTGTCCTTAGACTGAGTCTTTGCATTTCTGTATGGAGTATGGCCTGTCTGCGAGATACAGGGGAACTTGTCTGCCTTAGATTTTTCTTCACTAGAGTGTGTGTATGTGTTGTACACAAATAGGAAGTGCTGTGATCTTCCCAAAAGGCTTAAAGGCATCAGGCACACCTTCTTCACATATGACTCTCGCTGCTACAATCACACAGCATTGTTATTCCCTTGAGACTGTCCCAAAGTCTCCTGTTGGCTGACACTGGGCTCCTATCTTCCCAACATGTTTAATAACATCATGTTAAACCCATACTGTGCTTCTCTCTTTCCTCTCTTCTCAACTCCAACCTTTACCAAAGTGCACAACCATGGGGAAAACAAAAGGATGAGGTAAGTCAAAGTCTAGGGCCCATCCCAGGCTCTCCCTATCCCTTTCCTGGTCTCTCCCTCATAATCACACTCTACCAGGCAAAGCGAGGCCTTCGTACTTCCCCAGAGGGCCTGAGTGCAGCACCTCACATGCCCAAAGCCTTCACACCACACTCCTGGCCAGTTGTGAAGCTGGAAAGAAGCCCACAGATGAGCTCACATCTCCATGCTGAGAACTCCTGGTGATAAACCCACAGAAATAAATCTCTCAAGCAGAATTCTGGACAGTGATTGTAGGCTAAGAGGAAGATATTTAGGAATAGGTGCTTATTGAGTTCTTCTTTTGACCACTCTACACACTAATATCTATTTAAAGCACATGTACAAATATTCACACTGGGAAAAATGGCCTTATCCTTGTTATGTCTGCTTTTCCACGTCATACGTTTATTTCTGTTCCCTGATAATTGACACCACCACTTCCTCAATTCTCCTGAGAAGCACTTTACAAAAGGCCAATATGCATATGCAAAGGTTCTCATCATGAAAATTCAAGTGAAAACCACAGTGATATACTAGGGGCCAAAATTTAAAAGATTAATAATACCAAGTGTTGGCAAAGATGTAAAGCAACTCAAACTCTCATAAATTGCTGGGGGGAATTGAAAGTGGTGTAGCCACTTCAGAGACTAGTAGTGTCTGAACTTAAACAAGTGTCTACCTTTTCTTTAATTTTTTTATTTTTAAAACATTGAAGTATAGTAGATTTACAATACCGTGTTAGTTTCAGATGTATAGCAAAGTGATCCAGTTATACACAAATACATTCTTTTTCATATTCTTTTATATCATAGGTTATTACAAGATACTGAATATAGTTTTCTGTGCTGTACAGTAAATCCTTGTTTTTTTTTAATCTATTTTATATATAAGGATGTGTATCTGTTAATTCCATACTTCTAATTTATCCCTCCCTCTGATTTCCCCTTTGGTAATCATAAGTTTTTTTTCTATGTCTGTGAACCTTGTTTCTGCTTTGTCAATAAGTTTATTTGTATTATTTTTTAGATTCCACATATAAATGATATCATATAGCATTTGTCTTTCTCTGTCTGACTTATTTAGTTACTTAGTATAATAATCTCTGGGTCCATCCATGTTACTGCAAATGACAGCATCTCACTTTTTTAACGGCTGAGTAATATTCCACCATTGCATTTTGTGTGTGTACATGTGTGTGCATACCACATCTTTATCCATTCATCTGTTGATGGACATTTAAGTTGTTTCCATGTCTTGGCTATAGTGAATAGTGCTGCTATAGACATTGGGGTACACGTATCTTTTGGAATTAGAGT